ACCCCAAAATATTATTTTTAACTCATCTCTTTTATGAGTTTCTGAGATGCAATCCAATGAAGGCCCATTACTGTGTCAAAGGAATCATTCCCTCGTGTTTCTAAGGTCTAATTCCCGTGCTCTTCCTGGAATAATAGATCTTCCAGATGCTGTTAATATATAAACTTGTCTGGGAAAAATATATGAGACAAATCCCATTCGCCCAAAGGAGATCAGACACGATATTATGAACAAGGTCGAATACTCGGGACTGTATTAGATCAGAATTTTCTCTCTGAGCTCCTGAAAACAATGTATATTAAAAACTTTCATCCTTTTTTGGGGTCAAGTGGAGTCCTGCAGCTCAGGGGTTAGAGCTCTCGCCTGGCGAGCGAGAGAGCGGACCCGGGTTCGATTCCCGGGCGGGTCGGGTTAGGGCAAAACCTTAGGCAAGTTTCCCTACTCCCCCCCACACACACACACACACATACACAAACACACGCCTCTGTTTACCAGCAGTCAGTAGGAACCCGGTTGATAGCCAATTGGCGGATCGCTTTCCAGGGCTAATAATTCCTTAAAATAAAAAATAACAGTAATAAATCATTCACTCAATCGCCGACTGTTTGTGGGGACGTCGCTGTGCGCAATTGGCTGCCGCGGTTCGCCTGTAGCACAGGCAGTCAATTCACTTCACCGTGTGTTCAGTGAAGCTCTTTGAGACGTTCTCGAGGACGTGATAAGGCGCGGGATCGAAACGGAAGGCCTATTATTATTTATAGGGTGGAACAAGACATGGGGAGGGCTTTAAAAGGTGAGGGCAACGATTTGGAATACAGAAACCCTGTGACCCGGAGGTGTGAGTGCTCTACACCGGGCCACAGGTCGTGTCGGCGTGTAATTAAGTTGGAACAGGAGAAAGAGATAGTCAATCCACTATGATGCCACGATGACGACAAGAGGGATAGAGATGTAACTATTGATCTGCGTCCCGGCAAGCCCAGGTTTCTCCCCGCGCATTAATGTGTTTGTGCTCAGTTAATGGACTCGCCAAAGCTCGTGCCCTCTCAACGAAATATAACATCGGGGACCGGGTCTGAGGGAGCCGTAAGCATTCAGTTTCACGCAAGGCTTCAGGTCATCATCATCATCAACCGCAAAACGACAGCAACAATTTACACTTGCACTGTGCCTTTCAAGTGCTTCGCGGGGTTTTACTGTGAGGTAGAGTGACTGTGTACTTGATAAGGCCGCGTACAGAAGTATTTCTTACTTTCCCTCTACGCCCCGAAACTCCAGAAAGCTCTGCCTCAATCCCTCCGCCTTGCCCCTTCCCTCCCTCCCTCCCTCCCTCCCCACACCTCCCTCCCTCCCTCTCCCCCTGGCGCAGGGTCAGACTCAGCCCCAGGACGCCACCCCACGTGAAGGGCGCTCTTGTCGTTGGCTACCGACTGAGCCGGACTGAGAGCTTCCGTGGCTCCCCTTCACCAGAAAAACCCTGGGGAAAGGCTACACACAAACACACACAAACAACACTCAAAAGACACGTTGATAATTATTTGGGGAGGACAAGTTTGCAGGACTATGGGGGGAGAGAGAGCGCGCGCGGGGGTGGGGGGGGGGAGAGTGGGGTTGATCAGGGCTATGGGGAGAGAGAGAGCGCGGTTCGATTTGCAAAATAAAAATGACTCCCTTTCAGATTTTTTTCAAAAAAAATGAAGGGGGGATTGGCTCCGGGCGGCGCCCAGACGCGAACCTGCAGGAGGCAAAACCCCGCAGGTCCCGGAAAACCAAAGTAAAAGCGGAAGCGGCTGGGAACGCTCAGCAGGTCAGACAGCATCTATGGAGAGAGAGAGAGAGAGAGAGAGGGGGGAAAGTGGGTTGACGTTCAACCGTTGGTCGGTTGGTTCGTGCTGCCACCTGCTTGTGAATGGTAGGTGTTGCTTTACGCCGCTACAACAGTTTATAATAATAGTTATTATCAATAATAATAATAATAATAATCCTCCCGTTTGACACAGCGCCTCTTCACGCGTTCTTCGAGACGTCTCGATCGAAGCACTTGGCAGGTTACGCTGCAAACCGAGCTCCCGGCCTGTCTGTAGCTGCTCTGTTGGACGTCAAAGATCCTTCGACACTATTTGAATAGAGATGCGAGTTTCTCCCAGTTTCCTGGTCAACAACCCCCCCCCCCCACCCACCACCCACCACCCCCACTCCGTCACCCCCGACCACCACCTCCCACCCACCCCGATCATATTGGTGGTTGACCTCACGGCTGTTTGTGGCTGTTTGCTCCCCGCATGACAAACGCCAGGAATATTATCATTATTATTAGTATTATTGATGTTTCGCCAAACATAAATCGGCTGTGAAACAAGAGCGAGGGAGTTAATGGGGAGTGTGGGGGGGGGGGGGTGTGGGGAGGTTTGGGAGGCCTCCCAATCGTGTTTGACACCGAGATACGATCATAAACTGGTCCTATTTATATGCAAATTTCTTTAAACGGTCAAGTTAAACACGGCACTTGTTTAAATAATCCAAAATGACTTGACTAATCTACCAGAGGGGGGAGCATCAGACGGAAGACAAGAGAGAGGAGGGATTTGTTACTGTCATTGAACTTGATTTCCTTCCATTGAAATCCCTGAAGCTCTGGACGTAATACGTATATCCTGCAACTCAGGGGTTAGAGCCCTCGCCTCGCGAGAGAGAGGACCCGGGTTCGATTCCTCAGGCAGAGCGAAATGTTGGGCAAGTTTCCTTACACACGCACACACGCACACACACGCCTCTGGTTACCCAGAGGCTCTGGTTAATAGGTTGTTAGTCAACTGGCAGATGGCTTTTGTGGGGGTTAATAGTCCCCGGGGACAGGAGGATGAACACATAGAAAAAAGAAAATCAACATTTAGCAAATTTTATCGTGCAGAAACCAGACAGTATAGTCGTATGAAATATCACCAGGACAAGTGTTAATGTCAATGCAATTAAAGGACAGATTAATACGTAGAGAAAACAGATTTAAACCACAACTGCAAACCAGAGAATAGAAATGCCAAACGAAAGGGAGAAGGAAAACACTATCAATAATAAAATAACAATAAGCCTGGCGTTAGATATAGCGCTTTTCAGCGCTTTTAAAGATCCCGCGGCGCTATTCGAAGCGAGAAGGGAATTTCCCCCGGTGTCCTGGCCAACAAACACCCCCCAACCCCCAAAAAAAATTGGTCGCTCGCTCCATGGCTCCGCACTGCAACCCCCCCTGTTTGTGGAGTGTTGCTGCGCGCAACCAGCTGCCGCGTTTCACCCGCAAATAATAATAATAATCCAATTAGCAGTCTATCCTGTGAAGCGCATTGGGACGGACGTCTCAACAACATGATCAGACGCTGCAGCAAATTGCAAGGATTATTATCAGTAGTCGTAGTATGATAAAACTGAGCACTCACTCCGTGGCCGTTTGTGGGACATTGCTGTGCCCAAATCAGCTGCTGTGTTTGCCCACAAAACACAGTCACTTTACTCTGCAGTAAAAATGCAGAGACGCAAAACCACACATGGATTATTTAACACACTCGAGATGGGTTATGCGCGCAAGGTCTATGAGTAGACTGCAGCATCTTGTGGTCAAAAGGATAAAGTGCAATTCTTTTGTAGGTCACAGCAGGTGCCCAAGAATCTCCAAACCCTGGACCTGTTTTGTGGAATTCTCAGTCTTGGTTTGGAGACTCTTAAGCACGGTGATGGGTTCCCGCGTGTGTCAGACACCCGGTCGACCTCCTCCCTCTAAAAAAAAAATTATGTTAATAATAATAATAATCATAATAATCCTTGCATTTGATATGGAGCCTTATCACGTCTTCTAAACGTCTCAAAACGCTTATGTATATACCGTAAAGTGAATTGACTGCAATATTTTTGGGGCGAAAATGGGGCAGCCAATTGCGCACAGCAACGTCCCATTGATTGTGGACCGTGGATTGAGTGACTAAATTATTATTATTTTTTCGGAAGGGATTATTACCCCCCCGGAAAAGCGATCCGTCAATCGACTAACAACAGGGTTCCTACTTGCTGTCAGGTAAACAGAGGCGTGTGGGGTAAGGAAGCTTTCCCAAAGTTTCGCCCGGACCTGCCCGGTAATCAAACCCAGGTCCTCTCTCTCTTGCGAGGCGAGCGCTACATTACATTACGCTACAGGACTGTTTCTAATAATAATAATCCTTGCATTTGATATAGTACTTTTCACGTCTTTGAGGCGTCGCAAAGCGCTTCACAGGATATACTATAAAGTGAATTAACTATATTCTGGAGTCCTGTAGTTCAATTCCAGGCAAAACCTCGGGCAAGTTTCCTTACTCCACACAGAGCCTAATAATAATCCCTCCAAAAACCAAAAACAATAATAAAATTGGTCGTTTTCAATCTACGACTGTTTGTGGGACATTGCTGTGCGCAATTGGCCGCCGCGTTCGCCCACAAATATACAGTCAATTCACTTTAAAGTGTGTTCTGTGAAGCGCTTTGGGACGTCCTCCCGACGTGAAAAGCGCTATATCAAATGCAAGGATTATTATTATTATTATTATTGGCGAGGCGAGCGCTCTCAAACCACTGAGCTGCAGCACTGTCTCTGTGGATCTGGAGCGGAACATACGTTGGGGGGGGGGAAATCAAGAAAATCAGACTTTCCCTAAAAATTTGCCCAAATCTTTGGATGCAATGGAAATGGCTCTATAGGGACCAGCTGGGGGTTGGGGGCGGGGCGTGTGTGTGAGTGGGCGGGGCCAAAGCGTGGGGGCCCCGCCCCCACCCTTACGCTCACGCACAACGCACGCACGCATGTACGTAAGCACGCGCGCGCGTGCCGTTTGCAAAAAAAACGCGCTGGCGTCACGCCGAGGCGGGCGCTGATTGGCCGGCGGGGAGCTTTTCAAATCGGGCGCGAAAGCCGTTTGAAATAACGGCCGTAACTGCCGCTCGCTCTGTCGGGCCGTCCCCGGAGCCGCCGCCGCCTCAGCAGCAGCAGCCGCCGCCGCACCACCGGGGGAGCTCACACAGGGCCCGCGGCGTCCCCCGTCCCCCCATCCTCTGCTCAGTCAGGCCCCCGAGCCGCAGAGCCACCCGGTGAGTAATTGACGGGGCGCGGTGGCTGTTCCTCCGGCCTCTCCCGGGCCTTCCCCCCCCCCCCCCACCCCGGCGAGGCGGCGGGAGCAGCTCCCTCTGCGCACCCCTCTCCCTCACTCACACACTCACACACACACTCACACACAGAGACACACACACAGACACACTCACAGAGACACACTCACTCACAGAGACACACACAGACACACACTCACACACACAGACACACACTCACACACACAGACACACACTCGCACACACAGACACACTCGCACACACAGACACACTCACACACACAGACACACTCACAGACACACACACACTCAGAGACACACTCACACAGAGACACACACTCACACACACAGACACACACTCACACACACAGACACACACTCACACACACAGACACACACTCACACACACAGACACACACTCACACACACAGACACACACTCACACACACAGACACACACTCACACACACAGACACACACTCATACACAGAGATACACTCATACACAGAGACACACTCATACACAGAGACACACTCACAGAGACACACCCACACACTCACACACAGAGATACACTCACACACAGACACACTCACACAGAGGGACTCACAGACACAGAGAGAAAGAGAGACACTCACAGCAAACAACAACAATTTGGATTTATATAGTGCCTTCCGCACCCGACGGCGTCTCTGAGCGCTTTACAGTAATGGATCCCAGGACCCGGGGGTGGGGGGGGGGGAGGTGACCAAAGGTGCGGTCGAAAAGAAAGGTCTTCAGCAGAGACCTGAAAATGGAAAGAGAGGGAGCGAGACCGAGGCACAGAGGGAGAGACACTCACAGACATAGAGAGAAAGAGAGACACTCACCGACACAGAGAGAAAGAGAGACACTCACCGACACAGAGAGACACACACCACTCACCGACACAGAGAGAGACACTCACACAGACATAGAGAGAGAGACACTCACACAGACATAGAGAGAGAGACACTCACACAGACATAGAGAGAGAGACACTCACACAGACATAGAGAGAGACACTCACACAGACATAGAGAGAGAGACACTCACAGACAGAGAGAGAGACACTCACAGACACAGAGAGAGACACTCACAGACACAGAGAGAGACACTCACAGACACACAGAGAGAGACACTCACAGACACAGAGAGAGACACTCACAGACACAGAGAGAGACACTCACAGACACACAGAGAGAGACGCACAGATACAGAGAGAGAGAGAGACACACTCACAGAGAGAACGAATTATAATAATCCTTGCACTTGGTAATAACCCTGGCCTGATCACATCTTCGAAAACCGTTTGTAACCAGATTAGAGCCTCCTAACTTGACCACAACATTTTACCCACAAAACACACAATCCCTTTAGAGCATATCCTGTGAAGCACTTTGGGACATCTCGACAACATGATAAGGCGCTATAACAAATGCAAGGATTATTATAACAATATTATGTTTATATACAGCACCTTTCAAGCCGGAAGGATGTCCAGGGGCTTAATGCAATCTTAATTAATAATAATTAATTATTCATAATAGTTGATGAGATGCTGGACATGATAATAACATAATAATAACTGACCTGGTTTACCCTACCCAGCTACCGCTTGTTAATAATGATAATAATCCTTGCATTTGATGTTGCATCTTATGTCTTCGTGACATCTCAAAAGCGCTTCACAGAAAATAATGTAAAGTATAGTGACTGGGTATTATGTGGGTGAAACGCAGCAGCCAATTGGCCAAAGCAGTATCCCACAAACAATCATGGATTCGGTGACCAAATTATTATTTATTTTGCAAGGATTATGGATTATTACCCCCCAGCAAAGCAATCCAGGGGTAATAATTGATCAATGCTAGATAAATGGATGCAACAATTTTGCTGCTCCCCCCCCACCCCAATAAAAGTTGGTCACTCGCTTCACAACTGTTCGTCAGACAGACGTTGCTGTGCTCAAAATCGGCCACTCAATAAAATGCGCAGTCGCTTTGAGACGTCCTGACATAGCACTTTACAGTGGTTGTAGTTGTATTCCTGTGGGAACTATTCTGAAAACCTGACGGAATAAAGGGTAATGGTGCAAAACTGAAGGTTAATAACTTTTGTGCCCATGTTACAAATAACATTTTAATGCAAATGAGGCTCAATTGCCTCTGTCTTAAACAAGAGCCTTTTGTTTGATGTGGGAGTGACAGTTGTCTTTTGGTTCAAATGCTACAGTTAACAACAAAAAATGCATACAGTATTGTGAAACATGATGCTTACAAGTATTTGTAAGTGAAACAATGGGGTTGGCCCATTGCCTCATCTGATTTGTAAGAAAAAATCATGAGCAGAGCAACTTTATCAATCAATTTACATACGTTAACAAGCACCGAGCAAAACAAACAAAGGGGCTTCTCATTTATTATTGCCTCAGAAGTTGGTCATTAGCAATCATTGTACAGTTGCAAACTTTCAAGACTCTGTTCCATCGAGTTACATCAACCAGCTGTGTCAAGGGCTTTGAGACTTCCTCCTGACGTGAAAGATGCTATATAAATGTAACATCTTTTTCTTCTGGAACGCTTTGAGATTCTTTTCATTTGAGACATCTAGAAGACATGAAAAGCGCTATATCAAATGCAAGGATTATTATTATTATTCATTTAAATCTGTTGATTCTTTGTGAAGTGGTACAAGCTAATTTGTGATGGGCTTAAAGATAAAATTACTGTATATTGCTGACTGAATATTAGTGTACAGTATTAAAGATATTCCTATTTTAAACTACAGGTGGAATTGTATTGGTGTAATTTACAAGAATTACGATACAATGCAGAATTACATTTGTAACGTGCCTTTCACTTTGGGAGGATGTTCCCAAGGCACTGAACAGTCAGGGATTAGGACCCGGTGAGGGAGGGGGGATGGGGAGATTAGGGTAAAATATGTAATAATTTGAAGCTGGAAGAACCGAATTTCATAGTGAAAATAAGCTACTAAGAGCTAACAGCCATTTTGTGATGCTTGCGTTTTTTTTTGTCACACTGAACATCTGGAAAGCCTGGAGCCCACTGCCAAGCCAAATGCATCAGTTCTTTGTTTTAAATGTGTGGAGGAGGAGAAGGGACTTTTTCACTTATTAACCTTAAGATCTCAAATGTGCAAAGTTGCCATTGGGACACATAAGGAAGCAATATAAATCATGGTCAAATGGCTTCAAATGACCTGTAACAGTTGAGGAGTAAGCTCATGTTGAACTGTTTTGATCTTTTCAGGAAAATGGAAACCGCAATGGTGTCTCTGAGAAGCATGTTTGACCAACTTTTGAGACAAGTGGAAGTACTGAATGAAGGAATCGAACCTCGTAAGAACATTGTTGCTTTGTAGATATTTAAATGGGGAAGAGATCCAGAGCTGTTTCATTTGGAATAATATAACTGTTAGTTGTGTATGGCTGTATTGGAGAGTGGCCAAATTCAATTTGTGACTCCTAGAAGTTGGAGACCTGAAATTGTATTCTCCAAAAGGTAGCTGGTCAAACAGCACCTTGCAGAAAGATTTAACTGGTCTGTTAGCTAGGAGCTGGTTCAAGGGTGATAGAGGAGGTTGGGAGGGGAAGAATACAAAAGTCGAGATAGTTGCTTGTGAAATCTGTGAAAAGGGAGGGTTTGATCTAAATGAGACTTCCGTTAATGGGTAATGAGGAGCAAAGCAACAACCTATATAACTGACTGATATATTATTTTTTTTCTCTTTTCAGAATTTATTCAGTTGGCTAAAAATTTTGAAGAGTGCAGAAGAAAATGGCAGAAGACTGAGCTAGAACTAGCTCATGCCAAGGAACGTTTAACAAAAACCGAGACAGAGCGGGGTGCCCTCGATGTCAAACTGAAGCATGCCCGCAACCAAGTTGATGTGGAAATGAAACGTCGGCAAAAGTCGGAAACTGAATGCGAACGACTGGTATGGCCCTGAATGATGAGCTATTAATACTAATAATCCTTGCATTTGATATGGCACCTTATCACGTCTTTGAGACGTCTCAAAGCGCTTCACAGAATATACTGTAAAGTGTAGTGGCTGTGTGTTTTGTGGGTGAACCGCGGCAGCCAATTTATTGATTATTTATTATTTATTGATGTAATTAGTCACCTCCATTTTTGGATCACTTTAAAACAGCTTCTGTCAGCAGCTTATTTTTTTTCCCCCCAATTGACTTTTGTGTCGCTTTTGTGAACTTGCTAAATCAAATGGGGTGCAGGCTGCCTGCCTTCCGATACCTTCCTCAAATGGACCATTCTTTAATATTCAAGTGTAAATTGCTAGTTCCAGCAGGCTACTTGACAAATGTTGGGGTGCTCGTCACAATCAAGGTGCCGTCCTTAAGAGGGATTAATTCTCTCCTATTAATTATTTGTAGCAATTGCTTTGACTCTTTCTTTAAGGAACGTCAGATACAGCTTATCCGAGAACTCCTCATAACAGAAGGCTCTGTCAGCATCCAGTTGAATGAAGAACAGAAGTCTGCTCTTGCCTTCCTCAACCCAAAGGGCTCAAATTCTAATGGGCAAACTTCCCAGAGACGGTAGGTATTTTACTTTCATGTACAGCTAGCAAAAATAAATGAGGATTAATAGTAATAATCAACCTTGCATTTGATATAGTGCCTTATCACACGTCGTTGAGATGTCTCAAAGCGCTTCACAGAATATACTGTAAAGTGGAGTGATGTATGTTTTGTGGGTGAAAAGCAGCAGCCAATTGCGCAGAGCAGTGTCAGACAAATAGTTGTAGATTGAGTGACCAAATTATTATTTTGGGGAGGGATTATTACCCCTGGAAAGCGATCCGCTAATTGACTAACTCACACAATAGAGAAGAAGAATCCTGTGAAATTAAGACATTAGGAACATAGTCAGAATGATATCCGTACTTTGGGAAAGTCAGTGGTTGCAAACAGTTAATAAATGTCTAATTTCAGGCTATCCACCATAGACGAGTCAGCATCCATTCTTTCGCACTCCGACATAAGCTATGACAAGACGGACGATTCTCTGGTAAACTTTGCATCATTTCACAAGTTATTTTAAAATAATAAGTTTGGTTTTATTGAATTGCATGGACCATTGAGCCATTATCCTCCTGGCATCTTAGTTCTGATTTTAAAGCTGTGCCCCTTTCCAGTGCATCGCTCTACCAAAGGGAAGAGTCATTCTGTAATACAGTGTTTCTTAATGCAGGACTGGGATTCCTCCGTAGTGAAGACTAGCAAGTTGAAGAAACGGGAAAAAAGAGTAAGTTGAAGCCTGCTGAAAGTTACCGTTCAAACGGGTCAAGTTCTGCATTGATGATGGAAATCAACAGTAATGACTGTTTACATTGTGCCTTTCATGTCGGGAGGCGGGTAATTGGACTTGAGGTACAGATCAGCCATGATCTTATAGAATGGCAGAACAGGTTCGAGGGGCTGAATGTTCTGTTTGTATGACATCTCAAAATGCTTCACTGTACATTAAACAAGGCCTTAAAATGTTTTGTTTTCCATTTCCAGTGTTCTTCCAGAGTCCTCATTGACGTCCAGCCAGCTCCAGCTAAAAGGTCGCGATCCACTGAAAAGGTGGGCATTAACTCTTTCGAGACACGGTGTGCTGTGCGTCGCCTAACACTTGGAATTGTTTTCGTTAAATCCAGATTGGTTTTGGAGTGTAGTGGGGTAACTATTAGAAATGTTGCGCCTGCAATTTTATTGACTTCCAACACTAGCTGGGTCCACAAGCAGTTAAAAGCAATAACCTTCAGTAGCATATAGGGAAAGAGCAGGGTAGTGGGACTAGTTGGGTAGCTCTCCTAAAGAGCTGGCACAGGCGCGATGGGCCGAATGGCCTCCTTCTGTGCTGTAATATTTTTTGATTCCATGATATTTCTGTATAAGGTTGGGTTGAAGGTGTGAAATCTCTTGACATCCCTAAATACTCTTGTCTCTTCAGGGCAATGACTCCATCATAGCTAAAACAACATTGACGCTACCTAATGATGGTGGGCCGATTGAGGCTGTGTCCACTATTGAGACTGTGCCATACTGGACAAGAAGCAGGCGGAGAACAGGTACATTTGTCTTTGGGGGTTAGCGATGTAAACCGGTACACGTGATGGAAACCAGGAGTGCGTTAGTTGTGAATATTAACCTATTGATTGAGATATGCAGCTTTAATTTTGTGTGATGTTTAAGAACAAATCTGGTGATTTAAAATGTTGAATCTCAAATTCATCGTTCCTGTTAACAGTTGGAGTTCCTATATTGCAATACCCTACCGTCCTATTTGAGCTCTTAATGAAGCAAACACTTTTAAAAGAACATTAGTGTAAGCATGAAGGGCATCTCACTGGGATACAAGTGGGTTTGATTATGTTTTAAATTAAGCAAAACTGGTTCCAGATATTTCTTTGCAGTTCTTGTCTTTTTATTTGGTTTTATATTCACTGAAATGGAAGTTGTTTTTGATTACTGATATTGTGCTTGTAAATTTGGGTCATTATTTCCATTTGAAAGTATCCACCACTTTGCATAATGCCTGATTTATTTTTCCACAGCAACTCTACAAGGGCTGAATTATGAGATCACTTCGGACACTCCCTCTTCCAACATGCCGTCATCCACAAAGAAAACAGACAGTGAGCCTTCGGATAATTGCAGTACACCTCAGAATGGAGGCATGAGGCTACATGAGTTTGTCTCTAAGACGGTACTTTTAATTCTTAGCTTATATTTAGCTCCGGTTTTCTAAATTGATTTAATGCACGTGCAGTATTTTTTGATTAGGAGCATGTGTGTTCCAGAATATTTCCGGGTTTTATATTACCATTATTTTTCAAGCTTTAACTTTTTTGAGAGCAAAGCTTGCTCTATTTGTCTCCTGAGACTCGTGTAAACTGAGGTGAACTTTCCTCAGGCCTCGCTATGAAGCAGTTTGTTGGAATTCTCTTTTCCTCTTTCCCTGCAACAGATCAGGTTGGCATTACTGGATTGTAGGCTCACAACACTCTTGGATGCAGGCTTTTTCCAGTTTTATCGCTGATGCAAATCTGTATTGTTTTATTCAAGGTTATAAAACCAGAGTCGTGTGTCCCTTGCGGTAAGAGGATAAAATTTGGGAAACTGGCACTGAAGTGCCGTGACTGCAGGGTCGTGTCTCATCCCGAATGCAGAGATCGCTGTCCTCTCCCCTGCATTCCAACATTATTGGGCACTCCTGTGAAAATCGGAGAGGTAAAATTGTCTTGTTTGATCTGTACCGCATTGGGTCGAGTATTTGAGACGGACTTTGTTCTGTATTAACAGAAGGGTACAACCTTAAAGCTAAGCTGTGCAGCATTCTAGTGTAAACAACGACAAATTACATTTGAATAGCGGCTTTCACGTCAGGAGGATGTCCTGAGGCGCTGTACAATCGCCTACAGGATGCAGTGTAAAGTGGTAGCTTTTGGTATATTTTACTAATTGCTTTCTGTTGCATTTCACATTTTCTTACATTATATACGATTGGTCTCTGGAATTTTTTGAGTTTGCTTTTGCGCATATTCAATTATTTTTCTTTAAAATACAGGCTCTCTTCCAATCCTTTTTAACTGTTTTATCCTTTGCTCCCAGGGTATACTTTCAGACTTCACCTCTCACACTCCACCCATGATCCCATCTATTGTGGTGCATTGTGTCAGTGAAATTGAACAGAGAGGCTTATCTGAGGTAGGATGGATTTCTTTGCAAATACGTTAGTCCTTCCGCAGTGTTGTTTTGGAATATAACATTGTTTTCTCTTGTTTTTGGAATGTAACATCACTTTTCCCAAGAATTACTCTTTAGAAAAAATTAATCTCAGTAAAGTGCACACACCTTATTAATAATAATAATAATCCTTGCATTTGATATAGCGCATTATCATGTCGTCGAAATGTCTCTAAGCGCTTAACAGATTATAGTGTAACATGGGGTAACTGTGAGGAATCAGCATGAGGAATATATTCAGCACTAACATTAACAGAATAGTATTAGTGTTTTGTGTTCTATTGATCCACAAACTAGAAATATGTCACAAGCAATTGTATCGTGCCTTTCAAACGGGATGACTGCTTCAAAACACTTATACAGTGATCCCTGCTTCCAAGTGGGACCAGAAAATGTCCACCTGTACTCTAAGGAAGGTCGCCCCTCACCTGCTGGTTGTCTGTGCTTCTAGGTGTGTGACATCACTAGGGTGTGCTGCAGGTTGACAGCTTTCACACGCTGTGTTTACACAGCTTGTGCTATTCCAGTCTAGCGTAACGTTAATGGCGTAAGGCTGATGTCCAGCCTAACGTAATGTTGTTCTTGCAATAATGGGATTGTCATGTTGGACTGTTGCAAAATGCCTGGGTCTATTACCTACCTATCTGTGAAGCGTTTCGAGACGTCTCAAAGACGTGATAAGGCACTATATAAAATGCAAGGATTATTATTATTTATTATCATGTAAGCCATGCTATATCAAAGGGTGTTGTAGGCGTTCCCTTGTAAAGAGCATCTCCACTTCATTAGAAAGACCCTCTGGGCTACATTAACAGTTTAACGGCCATTACAATTTTGAAGTAAGTGGGACACTTCTGCTACCAGGATACAGAGATTCAGTTGTGTGTGGAAACTTACTGTTTCATTTAAAATGATTTAACATGATTGTCTCCTTCAGACGGGACTTTATCGTATCTCTGGATGTGACCGGACTGTTAAAGAGCTCAAAGAGAAGTTCCTGCGGAGCAAAACTATGCCCCTGCTCAGCAAGATTGACGACATTCACGCCATCTGTGGGCTGCTGAAAGACTTTCTGAGGAACTTGAAAGAGCCCATCGTGACGTTCAGATTGTATTCAGCATTTGTAGAAGCCGCAGGTTGGTGTAACATATCTGATTTGAAGTATTAAAAACTTGATCGTGTTAAAGCACTGAACAGGATAACATTTTATTTTTAAATTGCCAATTGAGACAGTTCTTAATATAGATAGTCTAGTATTCAGTGTTTAAAAACCATAAGCTCCTTCAAGGGAGGGGGAAAAACTGAAAATGAAGTTAACTTCATAAAATAATAATAAAATAATCTTTGCATTTTATATAGCGCCTTATCACATCTTATCACAGAATATACTATGGGTAAAACGCGACAGCCAATTGCGCACAGAAGCTAGTTTTGGAGGTTATAATGGGCAGCCAGGTTTAGCTCCAGGTAGGAGCTAAAAAGGGAGTAGCAAATAACCTCTGTTTACCCAGGCTCGATCAACACTGAACAGCAAGATCTATTTCTGATGTCTGTTCAGAGAACCCTTGTCCAATGTGCCCATAGTGTAAAACGTGTCCCATCTTGAGAGAAACCAGACTGGAGTATAAATCGCTGCCAAAAGTGCTGGTGAATCTAATCAGTAACAAATGTAATTTTGTTGTTGGTTTCGATAGTGAAGTTTAGGATTTTCTTACAATTCCAAATCGGGCTGTGGCCACGGTGGTGGTTGAGTGTCGCAGTGAACCACGACCTGTGTTCTGTTTAATGTCCGTAGAAATATCAGATGATGATAACAGCATTGCTGCAATGTACCGGTGCGTGAGTGAGCTGCCACGGCCCAACCGAGACACTTTGGCATTTCTTATCATTCACCTACAGAGGTATTTTTATTGAATGTACTTCTATGTGTTGTCTTGGCTCAATTGATAGCATTCTCACCTCTGTGTCAGAAAGCCTTGCTGTCCCTCTAGTGGGGAGTACTGTGTTTCTAGAGCTGCTATTCTTCAGATGAGGCATTAAAATCTGAAAGGCAAAATACTGCAGATACTGGAAAACAGATGTCGCTGTGAACACTCATTAGGGCATCTATGGAGATGCTGCCTGACCTGCTGAGTGTTCCCAGCGACTTCTGTTTTCATTTTATATTAAAACCTGAAATCCTATCTGCTTGTTAAAGATGCTTCGGTACTATTCAAAACCAGAATGGAGTTTCTCCTATTCTCCTAGATATGCATGGCTGTTTGTACAACTTTACCAACACATAGACTGGGAGCTGTTTGGCTCAACTAGTCCATGCTAGTGTTCATTCTCCATGCAAGTTCCCACCTTTCCAATTTTCGCCTCTCGTGACCCTCTCTTCCTCTCTTCCTCTTGGACATTGTTTCTTTGGTTTGTGTTGGCACGTTTTGCTTTTTACTGACCAGGGTTCAGATTACATTGCAATCGTGCATTTATTTGCTTTAAGTAACGATTGCTGTGGAATTGGATGCAGAGAATTTCAAGCCTTTGCCCAAAAAAAAGTCGAACAAGAATTGAAGTGTGTGTGTATAGAGCCTTTCTATCCGATTAGATGTTTGCCTCGAGGTTGCGATACTTTTAAAAATCTGATGGTAGATTTTTTAATTTTATTTTGCTGGTTTATTGTCAGTTTGCCTTGGATGTTTTTCAATCTGACTTGACCATTCTATAATGATGATTTTCCATTTCTCTCTGTAGAGTGGCTAAGAGTCCTAAATGTAAAATGGATGCCAATAACCTTGCCAGAGTCTTTGGTCCAACAATAGTGGGCTATTCCTCACCGGAGCTCGACCCTATGTCAATGCTGCGAGAGACCAAACAGCAACCAAAGGTATCTAAACGAGCAAGTTCATTTTTGTGAGGGAAGTGGAACGCGTAAGATTTTTGTCTATGTTTTTGATAGAGCTGGGGTTTCTTCTAATCCTGTTGGAAAAATAACAAAATCTAAAATGTGAATTTTATGTAACAGAAAAAAAGTTTCAGGAAGGGCAAGAGTTTACCCGGGCTTCACCACACAGCTGCTCGGTGCTTAGGCAGTTTGGGCTCGTATTAAAGACTCTTTTTTTTCTGTAAGGTGGTTGAACGCCTCCTGTCTTTGCCTGTGGAATACTGGAGCCAGTTTATGATGGTGGAACAAGAAAATACAAATCCTATGCAAGTCATTGAAAATTGCAATGCTTACTGCACTCCTGATTTGAAAGGTATTGGCATATACAGTCTCTGAAGTAGATGCTAACTTGGTCTACAAGCTGACGATTGTGATATGGGTTGTTGTAAGCTCCATTGTGTAATGAGAGCAACAAGCAGGTTAGCAGGTTGGTTCTCTTTTCACTAACCAAACCTGTGACTCGTACTTAGCTTCCGTTCCTGACACAATAGGTGGTTCAGGCGAACCCTTAACATACCACACATGCCTCTTGTGCATTCTTTAAAGGAGGAAAACTAGGGTAATGCCTTCAAGATGAAGGATAGTGATTGTAAATCTAAATAAATAAGTAGTATCTTTATTCTTTCTGCTTATTGAGACCTGGCATTATGGAAAACTACCATTGTGAAATGTTGGTTGTTAAAGTGGTTCCAGTGAGTATGCTCGGACCACCTACCACCCCTGAGCACCAGTTAATTGGCAAAAAAAACCTCATTCAGCTCCTTATCAGCTCACGTGAGACATTGCTGAAAAGCGAGTCTAACTAAGTTGGGTGGAGTGAAGGATTATAATGGTGTTGTCACTCTATAAAGATTTTTTTTCTATTAATATAGATAGATGTTGCTTATTTTTTCCTTTGGATTTTCTTGTGCCTAAATTCTATTGGTTTCTGATGTCCAGAGCACAAATATTCCCGAAGGAGCGAGTTATATAAGGTTGTTTTTTGTAGGGAGATGGGGCTTTACTTGCGTTAATTTGTGTGTTCAGCTTTTGGAAGCCTCAAACTATCTTTTCATTTCCAGTGAGTATGCTTGGACCACTTACCACCCCTGAGCACCAGTTAATTGGCAAAACGCCCTCGTCCAGCTCCTTATCAGCACGAGTAAAGTCCAGTCTAACCAGGACCACACCAAAGTAAGTATACTTTCTGCGTGTGCCCTCCATTCCACCATTGATGGCTGCGCTTACAGCCACTATGCCCCGAAACACTTCGTCTATCCCTCCGCCTTGCCCCTTCCTTCCCCATCTTCGGGTCGCGCCTGATGACCTTCCTCTTCGACCATGCCTATTTTAAGTGCTATTTATTTCCAATTAAACATTACAATTCAGAAAATAGGATGAAAATGTAGCTTAAGTATACTTCAGTAACAGTTTGAGAAATGCATGTGCCTGTAGCTAGAAATGCAATATGTGATGCCTATAAGATTACTCTTCATTTGACTAATAATCTGAATATTTGAGTTTCGTTTGAGGATTTTTTTAAAAAAAATCTACTTTCATTCCAGGTTTGGAAGCAAGAGCAAGTCTTCGATCAATATCAATCGGAATGGGAACTTTTTTGCCTCCCCAATGCTGAAATAAGCCAAAGGCGGCACAGGACAATCAGAGAATCAAAATACGATTTTTCCATTGAACGAGCTCCTTGTATCTAATGCAGTTTTTAACTTTACTTTCTATAATAGAGCAATACTAGAGCAGTTTTATACATCACATCGCATTTAACAATAATAATGTGTTAGTGCCGATCTAAATGGAATTAATTATGTCTGTCATTAGTGATGTAATTGTTTTTTTCGTTAAGTTGTGAACATTTTTTTTACTAGAAAAGTTTACTTTTATAAAATATTGTTGATGGCACTACAGTGGTGAGGCTAAATAGATTAGATTTAAGATCAAACCTGCCACACAGCATGGTTTGAAAAAGCTCTATTTTGCAAACCATTTTACAAACTCGTAGGAAAACCCTATGGAAACAAATAATGCAGTGAGAAATGTATGTTGAGGAAAATCAAAGGACTGTCCTGGAAATATTCAATGTGTTCGATCCTTACTGTGCCTCTATTTCCCTACCCTTTACCACCACCACTTTCACCACCGCCACCCAAGATCCTCCGAAGCGATAAGCTGCTTGACTATAATGTCCTTGGTTGAATATTGGGGAAGAGAGAGAGAAGACATTTGGGAGACAGTTTTCCTTTATTGTCCCAATTTGTCTCCTTGAAACCTGAAGTAGAAAATACTGGGACCTTTTATTTGAAGATGGTGATAAGTATTTAAAATAGCAATCACAGATCATCATTAAGTATTGTTGACCAAGTTTCATCCTTTGGTGGCTCCCCTCAATCTCAGCCCTGGAGCATGCACAAACGTGCCTTGTTAAGCAGCTCGCCAACCTTTCTGTCCCTTACTTTTAGACGGTGGTGGTGATTTCTGCCTGTTTAATTTATCTAATCACCTCTAAAGATTTGGGCTGTCAATAGCAGAGTTTAGAAAGGTCAATATAAATGAGCTTCCCTTATGGGGTGAGCACCTGGTGAGAAGCTTGTGAGCAGCAAAACATCTTCAGCGTCTGAGGAAAACGTTGATGTGGTGGTGGTGTTCAAGCTGTTGGGTTTGGATTACTGATCTGAAAAACAGCATCGAAGTTGACTAGGCTCAAGTGACAGGAATTGGATTTTTAAAAATTCGTAGAAAGGAATAACATTGCTGTTTATATAAACAACAATTTTTTTTAAAAAAAAAATTAATAGCAACAAATGACTCATTCTGATTTTGGTAGCTACAAAAAAAAAACAAGAATGGTAAAATTTGGCATTACCTGAATTACCTTTTTGGTCATCATTTTCAATCCAAGGAGAGCAACACATTTTCACCACCTTGTTGAAAGTAACACATTTGAGAGAAAAACAAATTCTGTCCAGTGACAGATGGCCAGGAGCTTCTCAAACTATTGAGGATATTGTTGCCTTTCTAAACCTAATCCTGTGGTCTGACTGACAGTCGGGAGCTTTGAAGGTGTTGGAAATTGATTTCGCTCTACAAATTGAGATCGGAGGAGTGATTAATGATGATGTTCAACTGTTGCGATGCTCATCTGTTGTATGCATATTTGTTTTACTACTGTATATAAACCCGAGTGGATAAGATACCTATATTCAAGTGTTAGTAGATAGCTGTAACTAAACCTAGAAGCGGGTAGTTCCAACTCAACTAATAAGCCGTACGTTATAAAGGCAGACTAAATTGTAAACTGGATTATGGTGTGATGTCAATCCAACTTCGTCTTGGCATGTAAACGCAGATTTATTCCCCCTTCGGATTTTATAAAAGGAAGGGGCACTACCAAAGACTGTGGTTGCTGGTGTAAAATATGCATGTAGCAGCGGAAGCCTGATCTCTGTCAGCCGGGCCTTACAGAACTGCAATAAAAGACATTCGCGGGAACCTCCACTTTGATTTTGTGGCCGTGTTAAGCGAACAGTCCCAGTTTACCACTGGTGTGGGATATCGGTAACAGCGCTACTATCACATTGTTTACACCAGAGCGCACAAAACTAAAGTCATTTGCGGTATTCCAGCCGCTCAGGGTTTGGCAGAAATTGGAGGGCGCACACTCTCATCAGAGACACGTGATCGTTGCTGGGGTTCATAGAGCCCCTAAACCACTGCATTACAACAGGATTCTGCGTAAGGTATCGCAGTCCGAGATGGACAACAACAACAACAAGATTCCATTTATAAAGCGCCTTTCACGTCAGGAGGACGTCCCAAGGCGCTGGACAGTTGGGTCATGACCCGAGCATTGGGGGGAAATGGTCAGGGTGAGGGGAGGGAAGGGAGGGAGGGAGCGAGGAGGGGGGAAATGGTCAGGATGTTTCTTCCCGGGATGTAATCGTTTCTCTTGAGGGGGTAATGACGGAGGCCGTCGCGAGGCGAGGGAGGGAGATGTGGGGCTTGGGACCAGGGTGACCATGAGGGCAAATTCTACCGTGGCAGCGAGCACAGTCGGGCTTACTTGCACACGTAAGGAAATAAAATGCGTGGAAACTTTTTTTGGGGGGGGGGGGGGAAGCACTGGGAAAGGGGAAATTCCCACTTCATTTCTGATGCCGGAGGGAGAGAGCCTTTCACTGTCGGGGGTGGTGGGGGGGGGGGGGGAGCCATCCTTCGAATGAGATGTTAAACGGCGCTCCCATCCCTCCTGCATGGATGCCACAGTGAGGGAGCTGGTATGTTACAGACATGTTTTTGGCATGTTACAGGGAGGGCGCTGGTATGATACAGACGTGTTATCGGCATGTTGCAGGGAGGGCGCTGGTATGATACAGACGTGTTATAGGCATGTTGCAGTGAGGGCGCTGGTATGTTATAGGCATGTCACAGGAAGGGGGCTGGTATGATATAGGCATGTTACAGGGAGGGGGCTGGTATGTTGCAGACATGTTATAGGCATGTTGCGGGGAGGGAGCTGACATGTTATAGGCATGTTACAGGGAGGGGGCTGTTGTGTTACAGGGAGGGGGGCTGGCATGTTGCGGGGAGGGAGCTGACATGTTATAGGCATGTTACAGGGAGAGGGGGGGGGGCTGGTGTGACACAGACATGTTATAGCCGGGGAACAGCTGGCGGTGTTGCCGTTTGTGGGCGGGGCCAACGGCAGCCAATCAGGGAGCGCGTTGCGGGCGCTGAGCACCGAGCGCTGCTATTGGCCGGCGGCTGCGGGGCGGGAACTCGGCGGCAAGATGGCGGAGAGAAGCGCGGCGGCGGCGGCGGTCAGCAAACTGAAGGTAACCGGGCGCCGGGGGCGGCCTCGGCGGCCTCGCTTCACCCTCACAGCCGGGCTGGGACTCGGCTCCGGCCTCTCCCGGTCCCTTACTCCCCGGGGGGGGCTCTGTAACTCCAGGCCCCGGCTCCCACCCCCTCACCCCTCCCGGACCAGGCCCCGCAGCCACAGGCCTCTCGCCTCCAGCTCGGCCTCCCCCCCCCCCCCTCCCCATCCCCCGCCCCCCGGTCCCGCCCTCCCCCTCCTCCCTCTCCCGCAGTAACAGTAAATCCCCGCATTTCACACGGCGCCCGATCACGTCGTCGGGGCGTCTCAAAGCGCTTCGCGGGACACGCTGTCGAGTGTAGTGACTGTGTGTTTCGGGGGCGAAACGCGGCAGCCGATCGTGCGCCGCCCCCCCCCCCCCCCCCGCCCCAGCGACGTCCAAGTTCCCCCCCCACCCCCCCCCCCACTCCCACTCCCACCCCCCCTCCCCCCCACAAAGTTGAAGCGACCCGAATTATTATTGTTTCGAAGGGGATTATTACCCCCGGAAAGTGATCCCCCAATCGATGGACTGACAAGCGGGTTCCTACTGACCGCTGGGGACACAGGCGGGTGGGGGTGGGGGGGGGGGAGGAGTGGTGGGGGGTGGGGTCGCGTGGTGGGGGCAGTTAGGAAACTTGCCCACGGTTTCGCCCCGACCTGACCCGCCCACCCGCCCGGAATGGAAGTCGGGTCCTCTCGCCCGCGAGGTAAACAGCCACGGGGGTGGTGGGGGGTGTGGGGTGGGAGGGGGCGCATTCGGTGCCCGAGGAAAGGAGGCTCCGAGCGGCGCAGACTTGAGCTGCACGGAACGGGCAGAGCCCGAACGGCGCCCGTACTATGTTTTGGCTTCAGTTGGTCTCGGGACGGGGGGCGGAGGGGGAGGAAATCAGCCACAGTCTCTGCTGCTGGATCCTCCCTGTCCAGAGAATCGCCAGACGAAAGCAGACCAAGGTCCGTCCACCATCCTGGCAGTCGCTGCACATGTCGTGTTCCCAACTATATAGTGAGATGCTCTCTTGTCTTGTCTCCCCCCCACCCCCCCCCCCCCACCATCCCCTCCGCAGTGAAATTTGTTTGTGTGAATGTCGGAAACCTGGGATTCCCCGATATTCAGCCGCTGCTGAATGATACTAATTATAACGATAATAAAAGTAATAATAATCCTTGCATTTGATATAGCGCTTTTCACGTCGGGAGGACGTCCCAAAGCGCTTCACAGAACACACTGTAAAGTGAATTGACTGTATATTTGTGGGCGAACGCGGCGGCCAATTGCGCACAGCAATGTCCCACAAACAGTCGTAGATTGAAAATGACCAATTTATTATTGTTTTTGGAGGGATTATTGTTAGGCTCTGTGTGGAGTAAGGAAACTTGCCCGAGGTTCTTCTAGTTGATACAGCACCTTATCACGTTGTTGAGACGTCTCAAAGCGCTTCGCAGGATACGCTGCAAAGGGGATTGACTGTACTTTGTGGGTGAAACTATCCACTGACCCGCGATACTCAAAGTTTGGGCTCACACTCAACGATAAAACACCCAGAAGCATTTTTGAGACCTCTCGGTGATGTGATACATCGAGCGCGAGGGGTTGTTATACACAGTATAAAGCTGTGATTTCCTTGCATTTGATTCATTGCCTTATCACGTGGTTGAGACGTCTCAAAGCGCTTCTCAGATTATAGCGTGCAGCGTAGTGACTGTGTGTTTTGTGGGCGAAACCCAGCAGCCAGTTGCTGTCACCTCCCTCCGGCGGTGGTGTGGTGCATAGATACAAGTGACAGTAACATTCCCTGAGGTTGCTGAGCTCGCGGGTTACCCCCGCACCTGTGCAAGTCGCAGTTTACCAGACCAATGCGTCTGCCAGTCAGGGGGACAGAGTGGAAAGAACATAAGAATTGCTAAGCGAAAGACCGAGGTCCATCCAGTTCACCTTCCACCATCCTGGCAGTGCCGTGTCCCAAAACTATGTGCTGTATCCCGAGAAATTATTTCCAAACAAATCTATCTGGTTCGTTCTCGACAGAATCAACACTTTCTGCTTCCAAGGTCTGTCTGTCTCTCCCCAGGGAGCCTGTTCCATACACTTACTACTTGCTCACTGAAGTAGTAGTCCCGCAGATTTGTTCTGAGTTTACCCGCCTACAATCGCATGTCATTTCCTCTGGCTCTGCTGGCGCTATGCAAATGTAATTTGTTGTTGTTCAGTACGAGATGAAACAGAGTGGTTTATGAGGCACGGAGCCCTTTTGAATGAAGAGGCCAATTATCGCAGCAAAGTGTCTGTAGGATGTTGAGTACAGTATTATGTTGTGTGATTATAAAATTTCTTCTTCCCCTCTTGCTCTTATAGCTCACTGAACTGAGACAAGAATGTTCTTCACGGGGACTAGATACTAAAGGGAACAAGCAGGACCTGATTCTGAGACTACAGGCATACATGGAAGAACATGGTAAAACTGAACGCAGCAAATCTCGTGTCTTTCAACGCTGTATGTGGGAGCGGTGGTTTGAATTGTATGTTGGACAGTTGGTGCTCGCATAACTACAGTGGGTTACAATCTAGCCTCGTGGATGAGCTACTGCATTCAAGGAAGTTAAAAATCACGTGATTCTATATGAAAAGAAGGAAGTTCTTGCTCGTATCCTGGTCGGTGGGGGGTGTGCGTGTGTCATTGAGCTCCTCAAGCCCTTCATAATTACTAAATATTATAAAGTGATGTGCTTTAGTGTAGGAAAGCCAAAGTTTAACTCAGTTGCTCGCATTATGTGAGAGTCGAGGAGCTCAGTGTAAATCCAACCTTTGAGTTTAAGTAGGAATGTCGGTGGCTATAATAATAATCCTTGTATTTGATATCACGCCTATCACATCTTCAAGATGTCTCAAAGCGCTTCACAGAATACACCGTAAAGTGAATTGACTATAGTTTTGTGAGCGAAACGCGGCAGCCAATTGCACACAGCAGTGTCCAACAAACAGTCGTGGATCTTAAATGGACAGAAGTCCAACATGGATAATTGTCTCTCTTACAGCTGAGGAGGAGGTGAATGAAGAGGATGTTCTGGCTGAAGATACGGAGGTAAGGAATATCTTAATCTGACATTGGTTGCCAGAGCTCTTTTTAATCTATCTCTTCTCCCCGTCCAACCAAGCATATAGCAGGCCCTTCCCTCCCAGGCCTTTAGGAGAGCCATTCTGAGCAGCTTGAAGGGGCACTTGTCAGAGTTCCTCCTATCGTGAATAATCTGGGAGATGCACAACGGTACAATTTGCCTTTACACTGCGCCTTTTACATGGGGGAGGATGCTCAGGAACACCGCTCAATGCTGGCTGGTCCCCCAAGTTGTGGACGTACAAGCCAATGAACTAGTCATCAGCCAAAGGAAGGTTTTACCGCCTTATAAACACGCACGCACAGGTGGCACTTTTCCCAAATGGCAGCATTAGTATTTGCCGCACATCTTTGCTGTTTGCCTGAGAAGTTCATTGCGACTAACAGTCAGGTGCTACATAGAAGCGTAAAACATTGCAGCCCCGAAGGAGGCCATTCGTGCCTGTACCGGGTCTTTAGAAGAGCTGCCCACTCCCCATGTCCTTCCCCATATCCTTGCAAATTGTCTGCAGTGCGTTTCAGTGCCCTGGATCGGAGAGGGAGAGAGAGAGGGAGGCAGTGAGAATGTGCGTTATCAGATCTAGGTCCCGCATGCTAAGCTCATTCACTGTTTTCTGTACAGGAGGAGGAACAGAAGGTTGAACCAGAAGTTGAAGAGCAGAGTGTTGCTGTCAAAGAACCAGAAGAAGAGTAAATTCTCTCTCTTTCTCTCTCTCTCGCTTCTTTCTGTGTCTCTATCTATCTCTCTCGCTCGCTCTTTCTCTCTCTGCCTCTCTCTCTTTCTCCCTGCCCCGTCTGTGTCTAAGACAGTTGCTCTGACATTAACTGCCAGCCACCAAGCGCTGGTGCTCAGTTCGATGCTGGATCCGACATTGAATTACTCACCAGTCACTTGTCTGTTACCATCTCTGGAATTTCCATGTGTTGGTGGGATGTATGGAATTCTCGGCTTGGTTTGGAGACACTTAACCAACGGTGATGGGTTTCCGCGTGTGTCCTGACCTCCCCCGCCCCCCCCCCCCCCCCCCAAAAAAAATCACCGTTTGTTTTGAGCTGTATCTGCCATGTGGCTCACAAAAGCTGTCTGTGGCTCACAGTCATGTGTCTTTTCCCTGTTACTGGTGTGCGTGGGGGAGAGTGAGTGTATCACTGGCTGAGAGGGACTGCCATAGCACATTGCAACACAGAAGGAGGCCATTCGGCCTATCGTGCCTATGCCGGCTTTTTGGAAGAGCTGCCCCATCAGTCGGACTCCCCCGCCGTTTCCCCAAATCCTCACAGATTTTTCCTTTTCTCTTACCTGTCCATTTCCCTTTTGAAAGTTGTTGTTGAATCTGCTCCCACCAGCCTTTCCGGCAGTGCATTCGTTCCCGACTAACAACTGGAGCAATTGCCCGACTGAACTGGGACCTGATTCGTGGATCTCGAAGCATTCTGAGCTCCTTCAGACTATAACACTTTTTTATGAACAACACTGATAATAATAATCCCTTCAAAAAATAATAATGATTTGATCACTCAATCCACGACTGTTGGCGGGACACTGCTGTGTGCAATTGGCTGCCACGTTTTGCCCATAAAATATACAGTCAGTCCACCTTACAGTGTGTCTTGTGGAGGGCTTTGAGACGTCTCAAGACGTGAGAAGACTCTGCATCAAATGCAAGGATTATTATTATTACGAAAGCTTTTATACGCCCCCACCCCCCCGCCCGCCCACCCCTTGTGTGCAGCTGCTGTTCCAGCTGTTGACCACTAAGTGGCAGCATGTGCCTTGACCATCAGCTGTTTCCATTTGGATTCCAAACCTGACGTTTCTCTCTTTCAGAGTGAAGAAAGTGGTCAAAATAGAAGCACCGATGACCGAGACAGAGGTGGGTACAGAAAGCGTGCACGAAAGCATGCTTCACCTGCACCCAACACTGGGCTTAGTGCTGGGCTCTTGCCAGCCAGTACTCTGATAAGTCCAGAATGCTGAACGTGAGCAGGGCTAAGCTGATCAGCTCAGATGTTGAGGAGGTGAATGCCAATGTTCAGAAGTGACAAAGTGCAAAGTGCAGCAGGGAAACAGCTGGAAGCTGTACGGTTTAGATCGAGTGTCAGCGGTGACAAAGGGGAGGGAAGCGTGTCCTGATAACAGATCGTTTTATCGGGTTTCATTATCTCGTGAGAAAAAGGGGAAAGCTGGACTGTCTGCCTGCCAAACTGTGTAAACTCTGGAACACTCTTCCCTCAATCCCTCCGCCTTCTACCCTCCTGTTAGTCGTCGCACGCAACAATAATAGAGATGTTTGGTAGCCATTAATTCTGTCTGGATTAGTCGACAACAGAGTGGAAAGCTTTGGGGAACCTTAGATGCAGAGTTGCTATGGCACGATAGTTTAAACAAACAAACAAGTTGATTTTAACAAGGAAGCTCTTAATTCTGTACAGCCATCTTGTCCTGACGCCCCTCTCGCACTCCCGAGCCTCCCAGCTTTATACCAGAACTAGTGCTATACAAATATAAGTTGTTGTTGTCGTGCTTAATTATTACTTAGGGCTTTTGCCCAAGTATCAAGCCTGATTGAAGTCCTGCCCGTGTTAGTTCCCTTTACATGTAGGTTGATCACCAATAACCATAAAATGCATTGGCCGACCTTCAGCCACGAAAACTACACTTCCTCTATGTTGTGTCTTTTCTCCCTCTCTCGTGTTTAGAGACTAAAGAAACGAGCGGAGAGGTTCAACGTGCCGGGGACGGCAGAGAGCAAAAAAGCTGCTCGCGCTGCACGGTGAGTGATGGTAAAAAAAATAATAATAAGCCTGGCAGTTTGATTCGGCGCCTGATCCCGTCGCCGTGACGTCTCAAAGCGCTTCACGCTGTACGCTGTAAAGTGGATCGACTGTGCGTTTTGTGGGTGAAAACGCGGCAGCCAATTGCGCACAGCAGCGTCCCCACAAACAGCCGTGGAGCGAGTGACCAAATTTATTTGGGGGTGGGGGTTGTCGAGGAACGCATAAAACCAGAGACCTCGGTAACGCACCTTTCGTGCCCCACTGGGTGCTGCGCGAGGCAAATAGGCTCAAATCACTTGTTACAAATATCACTTGTCTTGAGGTCCGTTGAACCTTCCGGCTTGTGGCCGGTTGAAGTTTATTGTGTGGGCAGCAATTTTAATTCTGGCCTTGATGTTCTTGAATGATAGTGTTTGTGAGCTGCTCTGCGCTGACTGACTTCCAGACAGCATCTAGCCCTTTAACACATCTTTTTATTCCCAACAGGTTTGGCTTGCCTGTGGTTGAAACAAAAGGTAAGGGCAACATATCAGTAGCCGTGTGTTTGACCGAACAATGCTGTGCTGTAGATTTAAAGCTAGTGAACTGGGTCCTGCAAGACCCAATACTACAGAAGATTTGAGACTGTCCGATTCCAGGCTCTTCAAGTGCTCATTTGTGCTGTACGCTTGAATGTAGGTGGTAACATAGGCAGCAGTCTCCACCACTTAATGGGTTGGCAATGAAGCTACCTTTGGTTGTGTGGCAGCACCTTTTGTGTGGGGTGTGGGGGGGTGGTATTGGGGGTCAGGTTGGTGTCCCAGGCTTTGCCAAAGAGTCGACAAACCCAACTGAAAACTCCATGCAGCCCACCTACATGTGGAAGTCCCAGAGATGGATTGTTGACATGGAATGCACACACTCTCTCTCTCTCTCTCTCTCTCTCTCGCTCTCTTCCCCCTGGAGGGACGCCCCCTGCTTACCTAATTCCGGAAAGTATTAGGCGCAGGTGGGCAAGAGCCCAGGCTTGGGGGGAGCCCAGAGTGTGTGTTGGGGGTAACGGCTGGAGTCTAACCAGCTACCACCACACATAGCTTGCCATTGAGAGCGCTGTGTGGCCAAGCTTTCCCGCTGCTTGATCCAGCTAGAACCACCCTACCCGTTGGGGCTTTGGTTTGCTGGGTTAACAGGAGCCGAGTGGGAGTGAGTGGGAGGATTCCCTGAAGCCGACAATGCCCTGAGTGAAGGGAATCTGTACAAATAGACACAGGTTGTTGTTGAAAGTAATTACATTCTCTTTATTTCAGGCATTTCTGGAAATATCAAAGCTCCAGTAAGTTTCTTTTTCAAATTGAAACCATCGGTTCTGTCTGTGCACCGTGTGGGTGATTTGCCTGCCTGGCCGTCTCAATAACGACAACAACTTGCAGTTATATAAGCGCCCAAGGTAGCACCTCAGAGCGCTCGACAGTGGCGGAGCACAATCCTGAGCTGAGGGGAGGTGACCGTAGGCACGGTCTTCAGGCCTGATCTGAAGATGGGGAAGGAAGGGGCAAGGCGGAGGGATAGAGGGAGAGCGGTCCAGAGTTTTGGGGTGTGGGGGCTGAAAGCGCGCCCAGCAATGGTGGAACGTTCAAAAGTGCAGGGAAAGTCCAGACTTCCAAAACTTCCAGGCATTTGAAAGCGACGATTTGGTGAATTAAAACACACAGTCGCTACACTTTACAGTACCTCCTGTGTAGCGCTTTGAGACGTCTCAGCGACGTGTGTCAAAGCCCTGGATCAAATGTAAGGATTATAATTATTATTATTAATTACTGTTAAGGAAAGAGCCGAATCGCCAGCATGTAAAATGTTGTTTATTTCGAGCTCCACTGAATCCTTCAGCGTGTGGCTGGTTGAAGTCTATTGCGTGTGCAGCAATGAGTAGACATGACGCAGGAGGATGTCAGAGTGACTTGACTGATGGTGGAGCTCTTGACTCTAATCCCATTCTCTGCTCTCTCTCTCTCCTTCATGACTGTGCAGGTCCTGGAGAGACCTGGCAGTAAGTAGAAACCCGGTTGTTAGTCGATTGGCGGATCGCTTTCCGGGGGTAATAATCCCTTCAAAAAATAATAATAATAGTTTGGTCACTCAACCCACGACTGTTTGTGGGACGCTGCTGTGCGCAATTGGCTGCCGCGTTTCGCCCACAATTGTAAAATAAGGTCCACATGAACTTTCTGTGAAGCGCTTTGAGGGGTCTCAACGATGTGATGAGACGCTATATCAAACGTAAGGATTATTAGTGCTACTGTTATTGTTGTTATTAGTCAGCCGCCTCCCCTGATAGTTTTCCCTCTGGTTGTCAGATCAGCGTTGAAAAATTGAAAGAGCGAGCGGAGCGGTTTGGCATGAACGTTTCCTCGATCTCAAAAAAGGTAAGTGACTGCACCACGTCCGGTTGCAGTGTTTACGTCGCAGCGTTTTGCAGTAACCGTTGTCCCTGCGACTCGCTTTGAGAACTGTCTGGTTCGTCCCTTGGCCCCGTCTTCCCCCCACTCCCCTTTTTTGTACGTTTGCCTTTCCAATTCCCGTTTCGATTCAGAACAAATCTGCGAAAGCACTGCTTCAGTGAGCGAGTAGCAATTGTACGGGACAGGCTCCCTAGGGAGACGGTCAGGCGGGCGGAGCAGAAAGTGCCGATAATTTCAAAAGCAAATGAGAGAGATTTCTGTTAGGAAATAATATCCGGGGGATACGGTCTATAGTTTTGGGGGGCACGACTTGTCAAGCGACTGGCAGGACGGTGGAAGGTGAATTGGGTAGACCCTGGTCTTTCGTCCGGCAATTTCTTAACGTTCTCATCGGGGGATTTTCCTTAACGCAGCACTTTTTTTGGGGGGGGGGGTCAGCCTTTTCTGCGTCCCGATTAAAGACCACTGTGTGATTGATAACCAAACCGGTTCACTTCAGGTCTCTCTGCAAGTGAAGAGCGCGGTTGCCATTGTAGTCGGATAACCGCTGGTCTGTTCCTTGTCTTGACGCTCAACCACTTAACAAGAATCCACTCCACTTAGCTTGTGATCAGTACAGAAAGCATTATTGTAAGTGCGGGGGGGGGGGTGGGAGTGGAGAGAGAGAGAGAGAGTGGGTGGGGGGTGGGGGTGAGCGATGCACTTGGCACAGCAAGCACTTGCAGGAAATGCGTGCATGGGGGGGGCGTGTTATAATGGCCTCCGTGAGGGGGGTAAATGTTTTGACTGTGTAACAAGGAGAGAAAATTTAATTATCACAGCGGGGCGCTCGAGATGTTTTTTGTCCGCAATTAGGCGTGGGTTTCTTCCAGCCGTGCTGCAAAATAATGACCCTCTTGCGTAACAAGGCCGAGGCAACAATACGCCTCTGTTGCTTAATACCCAGTTCGCGTTTCCTTCGGGCGCCCGCGGAACTCGCCGGGCGGCACCCCGTGGCGCTTCTCGGCGCGGGTGTTGGCGAGGCGTGAACTGCCGTTATCCGGGGCTCTTCTCCACGGGCTCCGTCCGTCTGGGGTTTCTGCTGCTGCCAGGAGAGCGCAGACAAGTTTGCTTTGTGTTTTGTGTTCGAAGGGCCGCTTTGGGTGAGCCTCCGCTGGCTCACAATGTGCTCTTTCTAAACACCCCCCCCCCCCCCCACCGCTCCTCCTCTCCCTCCCTCCCTCCCTCCTCGAGCAACCCCTTGTGGAGCTCTCAATCAAGCCACGCTGGATGCTGTAATGAGTGTTGACAGCGGGGAGAATGCTGTTGGCAGCTATGAAAATCGTAGCACAGTGAAGTTGTCATTGCCCCCCGGCCCCTGGCTGTGAGACTGGCTCATGATTGATGTGTAAACCCTCAGCTCTTTGTGTGTCCAGCACCAGGCCGGCCTGAGCTCACACTCCCACCACAGGGTGTTGGCGGGACAATGGAGATACGGGGAGGAAATCGGGAGAAACAGAACAGGCTTGACAGCCCGAATAATAATAATAATCCTAATAATAATCCTCGCATTCGATACAGCGCCTTCCTCGTCGCGTCTTCGAGACGTCTCGAAGCGCTTCACGGGATACGCCGCAATGTGAATCGACTGTACAGTTTGTGGGCGAAACGCGGCAGCCGATTGCGCCCAGCGACGTCCCCACGAACAGCCGTGGTTTGAGCGACCGAATTATTATTTGGGGGCGGGGGGGGTTGGGGGAGATTATTCCCCCCCGGAAAGCGATCCGCCCATTGACTTACTGCTAGGTAAACAGAGGTGTGTGAGTGTGTGTGGAGTAAGGAAAGGTTTCGCCCTGCCGGGAATCGAACCCGGGTCTCTCGCTTGCCAGGCGAGCGCTCTAACCACTGAGCTGCAGGAAACGGACGGCGATCGAGGTTTTATATACACATAATCGAGAAAACCAATTGAAAATAAAAACTGCTGAGACTAGCACACATAAAGCCACGCGACTTGTAGGTCTGTACATTGGGAGGAGGCTTTGAGGTCTCTTGTCTTTCACAGAAAGGTTTTGCTCTCCTCGTCTAATTTAGACCCAGCTTGAGCGAGCGGGTAAGTGAGGACAGACACTTGCTCACAGCCTCTTCACGCCCCCACCGTCCAGCTGACTCTGCATGTTTGGCAAACTGCTTTTGGGTTCCAGGGATGGATTATGCTCTCTCCTCTTTCTCTCTCTCTCTCTCTCTCTGCTCTACCCTCTCTTTCTCCTTCTCTCTGTCACACTCCTCTCTCTCTCTCTCTCCCACCCCTCACCCCCCGTCCCCTCTCTCTCTCTCTCTTCCCTCCCCCAAGTAGGATTGAGTGAATTATATTATATTTTTCTGAAGGGGTGATTACCCCCAGAAAGTGATCCACCGGACAACTACCAACCAGGCTCCTACTTACTGCTAGGTAAACAGAGACGTGCGTGAGGAGTAAAGAAACTTGCCTAAGGTTTCACCCTGCCCGCGAATCAAACCCGGGTCCTCCCGTTTGTAAGGCGAGCGCTCTAACTACTATACTACAGGACTCCACAACTTTCCAGCTGAGGCTTGTTAGACTGTCCCCTGTTGTAGAGGAGGCTTCACCGTTGTAATCACAGCTCCACGGTCCGCAAAGCTGTGCTTATGTTCCACAACAGGACCTGGAGTTCCCTGCGAAACGCCGGTTTGAAGCAGAATCCCTAATAGCTGTTAAAATGGAAGCAGAATACAATACTTGGAATCACTTACACTAATGTAAAGGGAACATTTCTAACGGGGGGCAGGGGAGAGGAGTTAGGCGTGATAAGGCGCTACATCAAATGCTAGGATTATTATTATCGTTACTAATCGTGGAATTATACAGCACAGAAGGAGGCCATTCGGCCCATCGTGTCTGTGCTGGCTCTTTGCAAAGAGCTATCCAATTCAATCCCACTCCCCCGCGCTCTCCCCGTAGCCCTGCAAACTTGTCCTCCCCAAATAATTATCTAAACTGATCCTGCTTTCAGAGAGCCAACAGAATGATCTGGATTCCCTCTCTCTCTCTCTCTCTCTTTAAAAAAACGGCTGACATTAATATGCTGGCGTTACAAATATACAGAAAACTCTGCAAGTGCTTTAGTTTGTGAGTGCATCTCGAACTTGAATTTAGTTTCTGCCTTTTCGGTGGGACGTCTAAGCTCTCCGGGACTCTACCCGGCGTGAAGGACGCTATACTGATGTCATTTGTCGTCGTTTGCTGGTTTAACTTAACCTTGCCTTGGTGGAGTCCTGTAGCTCAGTGGTTAGAGCACTCGCTTTGCAAGTGAGAGACCTGAGTTCAATTCCAGGCAGAGGGCCAAACCTTGGGCAAGTTTCCTTACTCCACACAGAGCCTAATAATATTCCCTCCAAAACCAAAAACAATAATAAATTGGTCATTTTCAATCCACGACTGTTTGTGGGACATTGCTGTGCGCAATCGGCCGCCGCGTTCGCCCACAAATATACAGTCAATTCACTTTACAGTATGTTCTGTGAAGCGCTTTGGGACGTCCTCCCGACGTGAAAAGCGCTATATCAAATGCAAGGATTATTATTATTATTATTGTCTAGGTAGGACTTTGCTCCGATCGCTCAGTGCTAGTTAGTTGAAGTGGCTGACCGTAGCTGCCTGTGTTTTTTTCTCTCTCTCTCTCTCTCTCTCTCTCTCTCTCTCTTAAATCGCGGGCGTGAATGGGAATATTATGCAGTCCCCGACTCCTGATAAATAGCTGGCATTCAGACCGCAAATCGGGAGAGTGGATCGAACCACAAAAGGGAGAACCATCTCTTTATCTCGTGCCCTACCTCCCCTATTGTGTGTGTGTTTTACATTGAAAGGCTCCTTCGGAGTATATTCTGTCCCAAGACACTCCATTCTAATCCAGCCAGTTAACCTGTGCCATTGTGAGCTGACACCCGCTTGTTACTCTTTCAGCGACGAATCGATTGTCCACATAAAAGCCCCTTGTTCGCCTTTCAGCCGGCCACATAACCCAACGAGCTCCTGAGCCCAGAGTGACAGGGCAGCACATCGCTGAATGCCAGCAGATTGCTCGACTCGATACACACAAACATTCACCACTCGCTTATTCACGTATCTCTCTGCACACATGAGGGACGTCATTTGCAAAACAACAAGAAGGGAGTTGGGGAGGTCAGGGGAATCTCCAGAGGTCTCTCTCTCTCCCCCCCCGCCCCCCTTTTCTCTCTCACTCTCTCCCTCCCTCTCTTTTCCTTCCCCCTCTCGATTTCTCCTTGGCAAAGACTCAACGGATCCACATTTCCCGAATAAACCTTTCGGGATTGTTTAAGGACTCTCTCGCGGGCGGCTGAACGGTGAGAGTTGATCCAACCTCCGAGGTAGCCAGTCCCCTGTTTTTGTCTTGTTTTTGGTTTGCTGCTGGTTCCGCTTGTTAGGCCAAGCGCTCTCTGTCGAGCCCGTTATTCCCAATAATCCTTCCCCCTTGATTGCGAGCCTCCGTATCGTCGCAACGTCCCAAAAGTACTTAGCGGGTGAATTGACAAGTGGAGTTGCCTGTTACTGGTAGGCAAATGGGGACATCGTTTTGCGTCCATCAAACGGGCAGGAATGATCAATCGGGGCGGTGGGGTGGGTGTTGGGGGGGCCGGTTGGCTGGGGAGGAGCCTTGTTGAATAGACGTTTGTGGAAGTAATAATAATAATAATAATCCTGGCATTTGATACAGCGCCTTATCACGTCTTCGAGACGCCTCAAAACGCTTCACAGGATACCTGTGAAAATGAATTGACTGTGCACTTTGTGGGCGCAACGTAATTCTTAAGTATTTTATTGTTCCGGAGAACTTAACTGGACTGATTTCTCTTGGGGAACAAATGCCCTGCTTCACCTCCCTTCCTTCTGTCTCCCGTTTTGTTTGCGTCAGTGAGGGTTGAACTTGCTCGCCATCGAGCCCATGACATTTGCACTCTTCCTGTGAATGGCTCTCCAGTCTTCGGAGGTGTTGTGCGTTCTCATGAGTATTCAGGGATTGTGTGGCTAAACCCACCCCCCCCCCCCCTCCCTTTTAATTCCCAGAGCAACTTTGGTTCAGCCTGAACTTTGCCACTTCATTACAGTCGCTGCGTTTGAGCCAGGCTTTTAAGGACCTGTCATCACTGGAATGATGGATTGCTACTCTCTTAATGTTCGAGCTCACTCTGACTAGAGGCAAAATCATAAACAACATCCCCCCCCCACCACTTACTGCTTCTGGTTAAGGGACATACCTAGAAAGGGTAAAGGGACTACATTTTCCAAAGGAATTTGAATGTTTGTCTGTTTACTATTTTACAATCAGTGTTCCATGTTGTGCATAACAATAATTCTTCCGTCTGAAACAGCGCCTGATCGCGTCGTTGAGACACCTGAAAAAGCGCTTCACGCGATGCACTGTTACGCCGAGTGGACCGTGTGTTTTGCGGGCGAAACGCGGCAGCCGGTTGCGCGCGGTTTAGCTCCGTGCGATGCGCGGCCCTGGCTCAAGATCGTTCCCCGGGATCCGTTCTTATTAATTTTACGCAGGGGGGAAATTTCATTCGGCGCTGGAATAGCAGCAGTGGATGTCTCTTCGTGTCTGTGTCTCCCCGGGTCAGACCAGGCTTGACAAGGGGATTAACAGTGCCATTACAGCGGGTTTAACCACAAAATCGGGTTTAATTTGGCAGAGACTTTGAGCTTGACAGGCTCCTGTTGTGATGCGAGCCTGGCATTCGTTCCCACAGGATCCCAACTCCCATCCCCTCAGCCTGCTAACAGTCTAGAGACCTCTGGTTACTGGTTTGCCCTGTGTGAAGGGTGCTATATAAATGCAGGTTGTTGTTGTTGTACCTGAACTGAGCCCATAAGGTGAACCCCCCCCACACCCTCCGTGGCCCCCATTCCAACATTGGCGTCCGTGCTTTCAGCCACTAAGCTCTGGAACTCTCTCCGTCTATCCCTCCGCTTTGCCCTCTCCTTCCCCATCTTGGGACCTTCCTATTCGACCTACAGAGCCTGCGGTCCCCACCCCCCTCCACCCCCCCTCCGCCACTGGCAAGCGTTCTGGGGGCACTGTGTAAACGCAACTTGTAACGGTTCCCGCTGACCGACTGACCGACACCAGTGGTTGTTTTGTGTTTTGTTGCAGAACGAGGAGAACGAGAAGATGAAGAAGAGGAAGGAGCGGTTTGGGATCGTGACCAGTTCGGCGGGGGCGGGTGGGGGAGAGGATACGGAGGTAAGCAGTCAAGTGCCTCTCACATCCCCTACTCACACGCGTGTATGTGTGTGAGAGAGAGAGCAGGGCTGTAACAACACATGACAGTTACACGGAGCCTTTCACGTCGGGAGGACGTCCTGAGGCGCTGGAAACTCAAGGAGTTGGTGGAGGACAGGGTGGGTGGGGGTAGGAGGGTATCCGAAGGCGCGGTCGAAGAGGAGGGTCTTGAGCCGGGCCTTGATCGAGGTGAGGGAGGGAGCGAGGCGGAGGAGGGACTGTGGGATGGAGTTCCAAAGATCCCAAAAAAGGAGAATTTTTGTGTGGGGGGACGGAGTGGGGAGGGATTATTGCCCTCGGAAAGCGATCCGCCAATCGACCAACAGCCGGGTAGCTACTTACTGCCGGGTAAGCCCCTGCTCTGAGGCGATCAGTGAGGCGGGGGTGGGGGGGCTGTGGGGTCTTCTGTTTGTTCTCTGGGCGGCTGTATGTTTATTAGCCGGTGGGGGGGGCATTGGAAAATGAAGACTTGGAACGAGCTGAGATCTGTTTGACATTCCATCTGCAGTGAGTAGCTGCGGGGCTGGGAACGGAGAGGTGTTTTGGGGGGTTTTATGGTTTCTTCGAGCCATTAGCAGATTTTTGACACGTCCTGGGGCACTCTCTGTATCTGGGAGGCGTTTGATTGCGACTCCGCAGTTGGAACGTCGCCGCCGGCTGAGAATTTAGAAGTTTCTTAACACTTCCCAAGCCCCTCGCTGTGAACTGCTTTGCGGTGTTTTGACGTGGCGTGAGGGAGAAGGGAGGGATAGGACAAGGCGGCGGTGGGGTGGGGGGGACTCGTTTGGTGAGTCACGGATCCCGTAGCGTTGTGGTTAGAGCCCTCGCGAGCGAGAGGACCCGGGTTCGATTCCTGGGAGGGTCAGGTCAAGTTTCCTTACTCCACACACACACACACACACACACAAGCGGTAAGTAGGAACCCGGTTGTTAGTCTGTTGGCGGATGGCTTTGCGGGGGGGGAATAACCCCACTCCTCCGTAATAAATAAATTACAGTCACTACACTTCACAGTACATGCCGTGAAGCACTTTGAGACGTCTTAACAACGTGATAAGGCGCCGCGTACCAAATGCAAAGCTTATTATATTATTGTAAACACGGGCGTGGACTGTTTGGGGCTGAATGGCCTGTTCGCCCTCCGCACATATCGCTGTGCAACTATATCTCGGACCCCCGGCAAACATTCTCGTACTTTATTTATTAATTAGAAACTGCGCTGTCGGAAGATATTGCCCCGAAAACTGGGTGAACGTTAGTTAATCCAGTTTCGTTTTTCTTGTCTTTCAGGCCAAGAAGAGAAAAAGAGCAGAACGTTTTGGGATTGTCTGACACTCCTAATTATTCCCGACAATTCCTGTTGATTTCTTACCCCCCCCCCCCCCACCCCCCACCCCCAAAGAATACGGTAAACTCCTGAAAACTCGACCCCTGGTTTAACTTGTCATGACCACTCGAGCCATCGTGCTGTCAGTACGTACCCAGGCCCACATTTATTTACTGTGTGTATTTATACATGTTGCCCAACCAGTCACTTGAGACCTTTTTCCTCTCGGAGTGACCTCGCGAGTTATACGGAGTTCATCGTCGTGTTGTTTTTTTTTTTTGTTTTTTTTGTTTTAATTTTCCAAATCTGTATCCGCGTTAGTTTATTTTCTAGGATACTTTTTAAATGATTTCTGTTTTACTTGCTGTGCGTCGGTTTGAGGTACTTGGTGTGTTGGGAAGTTCAGCCGCAAAACGAGGCGACTTATTTAATTGCAAATGATTAGGAGTGATTTTGAGTCAAATCGGTGGACTCTTATTGCAGGAATTTGTTGAGTGATTGAGAGAGGGTTGTCAACAAAATCCTGTTACCCCCCAAACCCCCCCCCTACCACCACCATGTGTTTCTTTTGTGTCCCCCCCCCCCCCCCCCACACACACACACACACACACAGTACACTGACCAACAACTGAAAAGTGTGGAAGAATGATGAGAATTGTATTTAGAAGTTACTTCATTGTGTTCAGTGCAAATGCTTAACTATGTTTAGACGTCCAGAGGATAGATGGGGGGAGTGTGTGTGTGAGAGAGAGAGAGAGAGTGAATGTGTGAGTGTGAGAGTGAATGTGTGAGTGTGAGAGAGTGAGTGTCTGTGTGTGTGTGTGAGAGAGAGAGAGAGAGTGAATGTGTGAGAGTGAATGTATGAGTGTGAGAGAGTGAGTGTGTGTGTGTGTGTGTGTGTGTGCGAGTGAGTGAGCGGATCATTTTCATGGCAGATAATGATCCATCGCCTTGTTCAGTCTGACATCTTCCTCGCGTAAAACGGGTGTGGAGTGAGGAGGCAATTTGTTTCAGCTCCTCCGTAATCTCGAGTCGCTGTTTGGTGACGCGGGCGGTGGGGGCTGGGGGTGGGGTGGGGGTGTAACAGGACTTTGTAGACACTCTGTACGAGATGAAAGGCTGGTTTGAAAGCCTGGCTGACATGAAATGACATATTTGAGTAACGTTACCGGCTGGTTTGAAACAGCAATATTGATTGAACAGGGATGCGGTATGCGGTCACACCATTGGGTGGGGGTGGGGGGGAGAGAGGGGAGAGAGGTCACTATCCTCCACAATGCACCCACACGCACACGAACACACACGGCGCGCTGGCATCTCGCGGTAACCAATGCCGAAGAAAAAGCCGGTGGGGAAACATCATCGGCGCGTGAAACCCTGACCGTTCACGCGGTTCTTTTTCGTTGCGTCGTCTCACAGTATTGTACTGAGGTGAGAAGACTAACGCGAGAGAGAGGGAGAGAGAGAGAGAGAGAGAGAGAGGATACTGCGCCCTCAGAGATACGCAGCAATTAGTGCGGAGGAGAGCAAGTGCACCAAGGCCAACAGATAAGGTTCGTTGTTGCAGTTCACGGTGTTTCCAGCCCCCGGTTGGTTGGTTGGTTGGTTGGTTGGTTCATGGCTTTAACACTGAAGGTAAAATGAGTCCTTCGGCACCGGACTCCTTTGTGCAGGTTTTATTCTGGATTTGGATTGCGCTGAGCAAACAAAGCTGAGCTGTGACTGTGCGCAGACTACCTGGGGAGGGGAGGGGAGAGCGCGGGGCGGGTAAGGTTGCACTCACCGCGTTGGTGAGGAGTCGGGCGGTGGCATTCGGCTTGCCATGGCCGGACTAAGACCAGGAGCCTGCCTGCAACCAAAGGCGTAAAAGCCTGGCTCTTAACTCTTCCTTTTGCTCCTTTATTCCCCTCTTCACCCCTTCTCACCACTTCCCCACCCCTGTTTTTGTTCCCCCTCCCACTCCCCCGACGTGTTATAAGGGAAGTGATGGATGGTCGTCAGCAGCTGGTGGCAGGGCCGGAGCGGCAAGTGTTGCGCGGGGAGGAAGCGGTGACTCTCTTTTCCCACCGGCTGAGGTGGTCAGGTTGTGTGCAAACCTCCTTCACTCCGACCGACCGACCGACTGTCCCATCAGAAAGTTTCCCGTTTTCACGGACAGGAGCGCTCGGTTTCTCAACTGCTCTGTAAATCGCGGGCCGGCGTCTTTCGTCAGTACTTCTCCCACGCGTGGGACGATTCTCGTTGTGATTGATGTGGTTATGATCTTTGTCTTCAACGTGCTTTTTGTTTTCCAATAAAATCGAATTTTTTTTTTTTTTTCTTCGAGGTTCCCAAAACCGCGTTTTCTCTCGGGCGATAAACGGGTTTTCGTGCGCTGCCCAAATGCTGGAACATCTTCCCCTTTTTTTTTTTTTAACGCCCTGGTTGTCTGGGAGGACCTGGGTCCGATTACCCGGCCGTTATTTGCGGAGAGTCGTGTCGCGTAGTGGTCGGAGCACTCGCCGCGCAAGAGAGGTTTGGTTCCCGGGAATGGGCGAAATCCTCAGCAAGTTTCCTCACTCCACACACACACACACACACGCGCCTCTGTTCGCTCAGCGGTAAGTGGGTTGTCGGTCAATTGACAGATCGCTTTTCCGGGGGTAACAATCCTTTCAAAAGATAACAACAATTTGGTCACTCAATCCACGGCCGAGTGCGGGGACTGCGCTGTGCGCAATCGGCTGCCGCGTTTCGCCCACAAGATCCACAGGTCGGTCCACTTCAGGAGTGTGTTCCGTGAAGCGCTTTGAGACGCCTCGATCACGCGACGAGGCTCTGCGTCAAGAGCCGGGATTGTTAAAGGCAGCGGTTAGGGGGCAGAGGTTTTGTCCTTCGGGCGATGCATTAGGACCCAATTCCCAGCTGTGGCACTGCCCGTAACCAACCCACCGTTTGTTAAGGAAGGAGAGGATTTTCCTCCAGTGTCCTGTCCTGGCCAACAACTGCCCCCTCCGCCACCACCCCTTTTTTTCTCCCCCCCCCCCCATCCCTTCCCACCCCGGATAAAACTATCTCTTCACCTCATGGGCGTGTGTTTGTGTCCTCGTCAATTCCCTTCAGGCTTTAATGATTGTTCTGACGGCAGAGAGAGTGTGAACGAACCTGCAAACCGAATGCAACTCCAATTTAGCCGCTCGATTGAGCGAGAGCTGGGGGTCAGCGAGAGAGAGAGGGAGAGAGAGAGCAGAGCGAGAGGGGGAACAGGGATGGACGTGATGAGCCAGACCCACTTTTCACACATCCCTTCTATTTCCGCTGCTCGTTCCATTGAACAGCTCCTTTGCAGGTGGATGATAGAAGCTTCCTCTCTCTCTCTCACAGTCCCCCCCCCCACCCCCTTTACAACCGACCGAGCGCTTAACCCTTCGAGCGCCGCGCATGCCCCTTCGAGCCCGGCTCTCGTTTCGTCGCCCGTCAAAAGAAGACGTTCGAAGATACCGAATGATTTTGCGCCGACTTGTTACGATATACAGATCTATACACAGCGAGAGAGAGAGAGAGAGAGAAGTGGTTGTTTGGGAAGTGGAATTAACTCGCTGTATGTTTTCCAACCCAAAAAAACACCCTCCCTCTCTCCCTCTCCCTCTCCCTCTCTCTCTCTCGGTTTATTGTTCTAGGAAAGAACTTGCATTTTATGGCTCTTTATCAAGTCAAAACATCTCCCCGAGTGCTTCACAGGTAATTACTTGCCTCTAATCCTGATAGTAATTTTGTCACACTTTCAAGCAATTCCAGCCCTTTCCCTCTTGTGTTGTGTGCAGAGACACTGCACTGCAGGAAAGCCTCGGGACTGAAGTTAGAGTCGGGTTGTTAGATACTGTGATAGAAAGCCCCGACCGTTTTCACCCACAAAACGCACGGTCACTCCACTTTACAGTGCGTCCTGTGAAGCGCTTTGAGACGCCTCGACAACGTGATACGGCGCTGTATCAAACGCCAGCGTTGTCGTCGTCGTCGTTACTATTAGAGCGCGACGCAGAAATGGGGTGAACTCTTTTATTTTTTTATTATTGTTGAACTTTAAATTTAGATCCAAAAATGGGAGTCCTGTAGCGTATTGGGTTTAGAGCGTTCGACTCGCAAGCGAGAGGACCCGGGTTCGATTCCCGGGACGGGGCGAAGCCTTAGGCGAGTTTTCTCACTCTGTTTACCTGGCAGTGGACCTGTGAATCGCTTTGCTGGGGAGCGATTATCCCTTCAAAAAGAAAATGATTTATCATTTGGTCACTCGATTTCGCCACTGCTCATACCTAGACACTTGTCCCGCCCGCCAGACCCCGACAGCAACAGCTTGCATTTACTCGGCGCCCCCCTCGTCCAGGGTAACGTCCCGGAGCGCTCGACAGCGGCGGAGAATCGGGGGGGGGGAGGCGGCCGTAGGCACTCTCGAAGAGTAAGGTCTTCAGGTGCGACGGCGGGGGGTGGGGGAGGGAGTGAAGGCGGAGGGATAGAGAGGGAGAGAGTAATAAGAGTTTCAAGTCGTAACGCTGGGTAAGTCTGCAGACAGAATAGGAATTGACAGAAGCCCAGGGAGGGGCGGTGCGGTGGGGGATTGAGGTGTGTGTGGGGGGGGCGGGGGGGGGTGATGAGTGTGAGGGAAACTCAAGGCGCTAAGTTTGGGCTGGAAAAAAAAGAAAGCCCTTAAAAATGAAGCCTTTAAACCATTATATGGATTGTGACTTGAGGCCCCGCTTGGATTGAAGGCTTATTGAGACCCTCCCAACCCTTTGCCCTCTCTCTCTCTCGAGAACGCAACCCAATACAGTCGTGTTCATTGTTGCTCACACACAGGGTCCGCTCTATCCTCGGGCCCCATGTGGGTACACAGGTCACAGGCACCTCTCGGGTCTGCTGCGGAGAGCACATTGGCACAGATCCAGCATTGGCCGGTGGGGGTTGGAGGAAAGGGGGCCTGAGGCCACTTGTTAAAACTCTTACGTATAGATCCTATCCGCAGGCTCTCCCATAAAGCACACAACCATTTCGCCCATAAAACACACAACAGTCAATTCACTTTACAGTGTATCCCGTGAAGCGCTTTGAAACGTCTCGGAGACGCGATAAAGGCACCGCATCCAACGCGAGGATCAAAGGTGGTGATCACGAGATTCTCTGAGCCGTGATTTCAGGGAACTTTATTTTTTTTTTGCAAGGCTTATAATAATCATAATAATAATAATAATAATCCTCAAGTTTATGTATTACCTTATCACGCTGTCTCAAAGCGCTTCACAGAGTTCGCTGTGGAGTGAATTGACTGTACTTTGCAGGCGGAACACGGCAGCCAATTGCGTACGGCATCGTTCCACAAACAGTCA